AGAGAGAGAGAGAGAGAGAGAGACACAGATAGTGTCCTGGTGTAGCACTGCAGGATAATGCGCTGGATCACAAAGTCAGTTTGAACCAGGAACTCTAAATGGGCAGCCTTAGAACGCCTGTCTTTTGCCTTTAAAGTTAAAAAAATCTTGTCAGGTAGGCATGTTTATGCTTCCTTGATAATTAATTGTTCTAGTTTTACTTATTTTTTTCTGCATCTGTACTAACCACAGATTAGATTTTCATGCCCTGTCTCCTAGGTCTGTAGATTCTTTGGAGATATTATGTATGAATACTTTTGCTGTTAGTATTCAGATGCTTTTCTTAATTACAGAAAATACTATGGAGCATACTTCTACTCTGATACACACGGGGTCTCCTTGAGTTGGAACTGACCCAATGGTAACTGATAGTTCTTTAGTGTTGCCAAACTTCAAAGATAAGCTAAGTGATGCTTGCATGTAAATGTTAAAATGTTAATGAATGACTTTGAAGTTTCTGTTCTTGTCAGTGCAATTATGTCTCTCAGATTCATGAATTCAATTGACTGTTTTTACTAAGAAGGCATTTTTTGCCCTTGTCACCATCTTCTCAGTTTTTAATCACTGACTTACAATGAATAGGCTGGGACTAATAGAAGAGCTTAAGAAAAAACTCAGAAATGTTCATGTAGCAAGCTGTTGGGCCTGGGAGAACAGACAGAGCTACTGGAAAATTTACATCATGAGGTTACGTTTTCCTTCTAGAATGATTTAAACTTTTAAAAGGGACAAATTATACTATTTTTATTATCAAAATTAAGTCTACTGAAGGCTATACAGACCTCATGATCGCAAGATAAAGCTGCACCTTCAAAGTTTAATCCTAAACTGACAGACAGACCCAGTCAATACCACATTAGAATTTTTCATGGTCTTGTTAGACAGGAGCTCCTTCGTTATAACTGCAGTGGGACCCTAGCGGTTTGTACCAAGTAGCTGGGAACAAACACACTTGTGTTTATGTCAAGCCCAGGAATAAATCTTAGATTATGTTCAGGTTCAGCATGAGATACACAGTATTTCAAGAAGAAAGCAGTCACGGAGCCAGATGAATAAATAGGAGATTGGAAATAAGGATAGTGCGTGTGAATGTGCTCTTTTTTCTCACCACTAGAGTCAAAAGTCTGGACCCTGTTATCAAGGACCAGCAGACTATCTGAAGAGTGAAGCAACGATGAAGCTAGCACAGGACTGGATGTGTCATCTTGTTATACACAGCATCACCAAGAGCTGAAGCTGACTCGATTGGCGGCAACTAATAAACAGCACTAGCGTTGTCAGCAATAGGTTAAGCTGAAACAGCTTAAACATAATATACATTCTTGGTGCTGATGTGTTGAAATGTCAGCTGAGTCATCCAAGACCAGTTATACTGCACACTCCATATGAGTACTCGGGCTTGGGGGCCCTGAGCACAGTTGGTTGTGAAGTCAGTGCAGCTGTCCTTCCTCACCAGCTGATGTGTCAGTCAGAGTGGTAGGTACCAACTGGCTAGCTTGACACTCCTTACTATTTCTGCGCATAGGATGTGACTAAGGAGACGCCGTGGTAAGTCAGACCAGGATATGAGTCAGCATTAAAAAGAACTATAAAGAGTTAAAAAGTAGTGAGGTTCAAAGCATCCTGAAAACATCACACCATGCTTCATGTCGACTGTAAGGGACACTTACTACATTTACCAAGCTAAGGAGAAACAGAAAAATATGGATGATTAGAACTGGTCAAAAGACTTCCAATGAAAAGAAATGGATATGGATGAAACAACAACAACAACAACAAAACAATAGGCCTTCAAAATTTAGTGGTAAAATGAAAGCTGTGTTACCAGTCAGACATGCAGAAGAAGCGAGACAAGGGGAACTTGGAAAAGCTTGGAATATGGGTTTGCTTTGCTTTCTTTTTTTAAAAATAAAACATTTGATCTGTAGAGCAACTCTTCCTGAGCTAAATCAATGGTCCTAAAGTGGTTCTCCAAAAGAAAAAAAAAAATCTGTTAACACTGCGATGTAAAGATATACAACAAAAACAATGATTAGCTGCAGCACTGTTTGTAAAAGGGAAACATTTTTCATGATCAAATACCCACAGATCAATTAAATACATTTTATTATACTCCTATGGAACACATGGAATCCTGGTTTGGCGTTATAGGAGAAGCAGTGGACTGCTCATCCTAAGGTAGGCGGTTCAAACCCACCAGTTGCTTCTTGTAAACCCTACACAGGGTTGCTATGAGTCAGAGCTGACTTGACAGCACTTAACAACAATGTGGAACACAAGCAGCTGTTAAAAGAAATGGTGTGATCTGAATAAACTGGCATGGGTTGGTGAGCACGGCAGATGGTTCTGGGGAAAAAATTATGTTGTAGAAAGCGGGTATGGAAACTACCTTTCTCTTTAAAAATGATAGAAAGTGTCTAAGGAGCCTAGGAAATAATTTATAATTGTTATTTGTGACAGAGATGTATTGTATATTCTTATTCCTTGTTTGAATCCTTTTCAGCAAACCTTTATTACTTTATAAGTGAAAACAAGCCAGCAAAGGTATTTGTAAGAGGGAAGAGCACTGGCCTGGTTCTTTCTGTCACTGCAATGCTCTTGGCACCTCAGGGAGACCAGACGGCACTGTAAGCCTCCCCAGGCATGAGGACCCAGGACTGAATTGGTCCATTTGTTTCAACAGTGAAAGCCCAGAGGGTGAGTGCTGTGCAGGGCAGCCACACAGTGACCTGAGCTCAGTCCATGGAGGCAGCAGAGTCGGCATTTCTGAAATGCCACAGGTAAGGAGGGAGTAATAGCCTAGGAGGAATCCATGCTTGTACAAAAGGTAATGAATGTATTTGGCTGTTAACTAAAAAGCTGGAGATTCAAGTCCACCCAGAGGTACGTCAGAAGAAAGGCCTGGTGAGTTACTTCTGAAAAATCACTCTTGTCATGGGACCCTGGCTTCCTAGCTCTGGGCAGTGTAACTACTTCTGCTTCCTGAGAGGTGAGGATGTGACTGCTCAGCCTCCTCATGCCAGCATTTCTTATCCCGAGTTCTACTGACTTGCTGCTTCAGGGCTGTGGAGAGCTGTTGGGGAGAAGGGACGGCAGCAGTGTCATACCTTCTCCCTCCCACAAGAGCTTCATCCATCCTAACACCCTCCCAGTCAGAATCGCCTCTCCATACGTAACCTGTGTCCTCTGGGTGCCCCTTCTGACATCAGGGCCATCTGCTTAACCACAGTGCATGGGTTTGATAAGGGTTGTTGCCTCAGCCTTGTCTTCGGAAGGCTGAAGCAGCCCAGATGCCACCGCTCCTTACAAAGTACTTTCTGTTCTCCATAGCTCTCCTCTGAGGCCCTTCTAGTCCAGCTTCCCCTGCCCTGAAGCTTCCCGGAGTCCTTCCCACTCATCCTCCAGACCCTCCCTCAAATGTTGTTTCCTTAGGAGCCTTTTGTAGCACCCCAAGGTCAGGCCCTCCTCTCATCATGTATTCCTACCTGAGCCCATATCTCACAGTTCAAAAATGGGGTTCGAAAAGTTCATGGGAAAATTCCATTATCTTTTCATTCCATGTTTCCACAAACTTTGGAAGCCTCCTTATATTTATTCACATGGTAACTAAATTAAAGTCTGCCTTCGTCAATATAACATTAGCTACTTGAGGGCTGAAACCGTACCTGTTTTTGCTGCATCCTCAGTACACAGACCAGTGGCTGATATAAAGTACATACCCACCAAAGCTTATGCAAGGAGAGAGTGCTGTAAGGCTTCTTTTACCTCTATTATTTTTTGTCATATGTGTTCAACTAAAGAGTTAGCAAGAAATACGTCATCTCTTCTTGGGAGCACATAACTTTGAAAACATATTTGACATGGGCATTAACAGTAGATGACAGTGTTTAAAGGAATTAAGAGGTTATAGTACAACTCTGGTAAGTTTCTCAGTTGAAATGGTGGTAGCTTTGAAGCTATCTATCACTTCTATCACTTCATGGCTGCTTCTTGGGGGCCTTTGGCTCTGGACCCTGGGGTTGCCCAGGAATGCTGTGGGATACCTGGACAATGGAAGCACTGGAAGCTAGATGGAATGCAACAGGAAACAGAAATTCTCTGCTAACATCAGAGAGAGTCTCAGACAGTGTTAGTAGAGGGACAGGGTGAGGGATAGGCAGGCTACTGACCTCGGCTGATGCGCTGCTTCTCCCCAGACAGGATGCCGGGGCTGTCAATGATGCTGATGCTCTTCAGGACCTGGTTGGGCAGCTGGGAGCACATGAATCTGGAAGAAACAGGTCAGTGGGATCAGAAATGTATATCACAGAGTGCTCTAACTGCAGAGTTCCTTGGTCTCTCTGACCTTACAGATGTCATCTAATAAATGGGGTCTAAATGTGACTGACACCAAGAACAGATGCATGGGAGGTGTGGGAGGGTGCATTGGGACTCACTGCCACCTGCTACCAGATCCCTTTCTGTTAATTTTCATTTTAGCTCTCATGTACTGAAGGAGCCCTGCGTAAGTCACAATCGACTTGATGGTACACAACAACAAGCACGTACTGGAGGAGTCCTGGTTACGTGTTTGGCTGATAACCAGTCAGCAGTTTGAAGTCATTAATGACTCTGTGAGAGAAAAGACCCAATAATCAATCTACTTCCATAAAGAACCACCCTATGGGGCAGTTCTATCGTGTCCTATAGGGTTGCTATGAGTCAGAGTTGACTCAGCACACAACAATCATGCATTGAACCCTTCGCTATTTTATAAATATCCTCTCATTCAATCTTCACCTTATCCTCATGAGGCAGAAATAGCACACCTAGGAACACACAGATACTCAGAGAGGCTGGGTAACTTGCTAAGAGGCTCAGAGTTGGTCTTTATATCCAGGTTAGTCCCTACTTATCTATTCTCTCCTCCATGCTGTTCCTTGCTCAAGCAGCCTGGGCTGCTGCTCCCAGGGAACCCCTTGTGTTCTTTGGGATACATGGTTTCCTGGACTGGAGTGTCTAGTGTTTTTCCCTTGTCCATTCCTTGGCCTCTCCTTAAGCTAGAGGTACCAAGACCTATTTTCACTGTCTGATGTTCCAGGAACTCAGCATCTAGCCTGGTGTCTGCTATGGCTTCAGGTCCAAGGTGGGTCAGTCACCTGTGGGCAACATCCCAAATCCTCCAGGTTCTCAGGAGTCCTGGATAAAAGCAGGGACTTGAGAGCATCTCCAGGCCTCCTTCCCCATCCATCCCTTCCTGATAGCATCTCCTTGCTCTGGTCCGGACCCTCTTGCTGTGGCTCTGGTCAGCAGCTTCACAGTTAGCAGGCTGATGTGGGAGGAAATTTTGGTGTGTGATTAGCAGCCCTGATTCTGGTTCAGTTCAGGCTTTGTTGATACTCTGCTGTGGGACACTGGACAAGGGCTTCCCCACCCTGGGATCAGCTCCCTCGTATGCAGAGTGAGACATCTGGACCATCTGGAGATGGTGATGTCCTGTTTAGCTTTGACCTTGTGCAGTTCTGTGAGTAGCAGCAGCAGCCACTCTGCTACTCCCACCCAGGCAGCAGAGCCTGCCTTGGGTCTTTGTTAGGCACAGTGTCTGTTTTAAGGTGGACGCTGGAGAATGCTTCTCCTTTTCCTGTGTTGTAAATAGCTTACTTCTATCTCTGTGTGGGAGAAGCCTGAAAATGTGCAGTGAAAGCTCAATCCTTCCATTCAGTGGGTCTGGAGGGGATTACTCAGAAAGTAACTATGCTGGGAATGCAAGACAGGGCCGCCAGCCGGGCCTCCCACACACACATGTGGGGACAGTACAGCAGGGTGAGGGACACTGGCTGACAGCAATGGCAGAGGTGAGCTACCCAAACTAGAAGTACAATTACTGACATTTCAAAATGATACTCTTTCAAGGTGCTCAGGACAAGTTTCTCCTAGTTTCTTTTTTACATTTTCACATCAGCCCAGGGAGATGTAGGAAAATATACTATGATCATTTTGTAGCTGGAAAGAATAGAAACACAAAACAGTTATGATATTTTGGGGTCACACAGCTAGCACATAGTTGGTTAGAGACTAATATCCTTGATGTCAGTGGAGTAGAACTCAATCTGTAAAGGTAAGAACCCCATTAATGTTAAAAACAAAGGGTCAGTTAACTGAAGAGAAACCCCTCATTTCTGATTTTCTCCTGCCTTTTCTGCACCTCTAACTTTTGTACAAACACCACTGTTCAGCCTTGGGTAAAACTGCAAGAAAAAGTACACAAGTAGTCTTTGTGAATTCAGAGAGGAAAACGCATAACTGAATTATCTAAACTCGGGGTGGGCAGAGAGTCCTGTTCACATGGTGGTAGGCCACAGCTCTAAGTGGCGCGGGCTTAGTCTCTCAGCCAGTCAGGGGCATTTGGCAGTGCTGAGAAAGCTGCACATATGTGAAACTATTTTGATGCATACTGTTACTGTTGAGAGGTGCTATTCCTCCCCACTCACAAGTTTGCACTCAATATCAAGTTTTCCAAAACATAAAGGCTAACAGAGGGTTTCAAAAGTAATGAACAGTTAGCTCCCTCTGGGCAAAGGAACATTTCAACACCCCACCCCATCCCCAGGCTTCCTGCCCAACAGCAGGGTCCAAATTTGGGAATGACAAACCAGATGCAGCCTGATGTAGTGATGTTACTCCAAATACACAAGGGAGTAAGCTGAGGGACCAAAATGGACAGCAGGAAAAAGAGAAAGAAGAGGAGAGAGAAAGTCTCTGGAGAGGCATCCAGAAAGAAGCTGTACATGCAAAGACGTCTGTGTAAAGCTTCCCTCCAAAACCAGCTGAGCACACAGCTCAATGAGGACTCCGATGCTGTGGGGGTGGGGGGCTCAGCTCACACTTGAAGGATTACAACCACATACCAGTGTTTTCTTTTAAAACATTTTCAGAAAAAAACCCAAATGCTGCTGAAGCCAGTGAGTCTTACTTTTGTGCTTTGAGAAAAGAAAGTAGGAAGCAGGGTTACTCCTCTTGCATGTCACAGTCGGTGGTTCATCAGGCATTCCCAGCTGACGTGGTTCTGCTAAAATGTTTCTAAGCACAGGCAGATTTGCTGTCTCGAGATGGAGTGCCTACCCCTTCCCTGGCGTGGTGATCATCACACTTCTCATTAAACATGCAGACATATGCTGTTAAACCCAGGAGCCTCACCACAAGCTTCTTTTCACTGTTGTGGGCTATTTTATAATGGATCATTTCCCATGTCAACCACTTCCCACCATAAGATTATGAAGCATCTCCCTTACCAAAGGCTGACCTGATACATTTTTTTAAAGTAAGAATGGGTGGGGGAGGTGAACCAAGATCATATGCCAAACTTGCCCTCCAGAAAGGGGAGGACAGAATAATGATCAGGGCTATAAAGCCTCAGAGAAGTTGCCAGGAGTCTGCCATACAGTAAAACAAGGAGTAAGAAGAGTACTCAAAATTCTTCCCAATGTCAAAATTCTAATTCAGTGATCAAAATATTTCAAAACCAGGCTTAAAAAATAACCAGCTAGTATCTTAACAGGGATCTTAATTTCTGAACAATGAGTGATATCTCTGGTAGTAACAGTAATAATAAGAGTCCAGACATTTACTAAGCACTTACTGTGTGTCAGGACTGTTCTAGAATATTCCTTGCACATTAACAGATTTAATCCTCACCACAAACTCAGAGACGGACTGTGAACCGCTGTTTTACAAAGTGGGAGGTGGGACAACAGAGAGATCATGCCAAGTCACCTGGCTGATAAACGAATGGAGCTGGGATGCTAACCTGGCAGCTCTGACTCCAGGTTCTCACCTACTAGACTATGACTATGACTATCGTTTCATGCATTTAATCTCTGTGGTGTACCTTCAGTTTACTCTGAGGGCAGCACCCTAAAATAAAAGAGTTGTGAGTCATAGCTCTGGATGCCAAGGAATTGACCATGTGTGATCATAGAACTGTTCACCAGAGCTTTCTTCTGAGGTGCCTTGGGTGGGCTTGAGCCTTCAACCTTTTGATTAACAGCAGAGCCCAATAAGTACACCACAGAGGAAGGAGCTTTTCTGTGGAGGCCTACCAGTGAACAAGAGGCAGAAGACCTGGGCTCTAGGCCTGTCTTTTGTTCACCACCCTGTGACCTTGTGAGGATGCCGAACCTCTCTGAGAACTCCCAGGTCTGTCACTGTGGTTGGGGGCCATAAGTAGATTCTGACTCACAGCGCCTCCATGTGACAGAGTGGAACTGCTCCATAGAGTTTTCTAGCTGTAATGTTTACAGTAGCATTGTCAGGACTTTCTCCTACAGAGCTGTTCGGTGGGTTCCAACAGCCAACCTTTTGGTTAGCAGCTGGGCACTTAACTGGTGTACCACCATGTCATCTTAGGTTTGTTATTAGGTACAAATAAACCTAAGTGCACGGTGGAGAGAGGGTTCTGAGCTATGACCCCAGTGCACTTTATGGATGAGGAGAATGGAACCAAAGAGATCACATAACTTCCTATACTTTCCACAGTAAAAGAGGACACTAAACACAGACAACGAACCTGAAGCAAACCAAGGAAGGGCTATCAGAAATGCCCCAATGAACCATGTGAATTTAATTTCGCATCAAGATTATATAAAAGCCTATAATTAACATTTAGGTACACCCTTAAGAGATGACCATTCTTTTTTTTTTTAATTTAAGGTTTTTATTGTGGATTGAGTGAAAGTTTACAGGGCACATCATCAGTTTCACATTCAACCATTCATATAACTTGTTTCATTACATTGATTATAATCCCCTCCATATACCACAGTTAACAGTGTTTCTCTCTATCCTCTTTAGCTTTTTTTTGGGAGGGGGTGGAAAAACTTTGCCTTTTTGGACTTTACTGTCTCGGCTTCTAGGGAAGGTTTTTACATTTATCTGTGGATATCCAGGGCTCATGTATGAGATTACTAGCAAGCATACTGAATAATCAGATGAGGGACAGTTTGCTATGTCTGCTAGGTGACCGAGATGACCATTCTTATAGGTAACCAATGGTTGTTGGTGTGGCGCTGTAGGTAAGCCCTGGACTACTAACCAAAAGGTCAGTGGTTCAAACCCACCAGTCGCTCCTCAGAAACCCTACACAGGGTCACTATAAGTCAGAACCGACTCGATAGTACCTAACACCAACAACAGTGGTTGCTACTGGTGGTGGTTGTGTGCCATCAGTCAGTTCTGACCCATAGTGACCCTACGTAGGGTTTCTGAAGCTATAAATCTTTATGGGAGCAG